ATGTTTGATACTTTACCCATATTCTCAAATGAGCTCGAATTATGTTTGAAGAAAATGTTAATTCACACATGAGCTGTCTCTTCCATCATTGCAGAAAACAAGTATGTTGGCCAAACGAGACACAGAATTAGGTGCATCATATAGCAGCAGTTTGGTCTCACAGGAAGAGAGGTAGTCACAACTCGGTGACTTCTGCCTTCCAGTTTTCAGCACTGCTGCTTTCCTGGTGCCACTGTCCTCCATACCAGTATAATGGGATAGCAGTGGGGTACTTGGATTAATCACTGTCTGTAAATCGTGTGAAGCTCTTTGGTTAAGTGATTCAAAGGAAACTATTGTTCTGAGTGACCCCTATTGTTCTTACCTGGGTGTCCAACTGCCGAGTGGGCAGACCGTCTAGGGTGTTAATTACTGTGTGTCCTTTAATCACAAAGCTTTGTAATCCTATTTCAGTTTGGAAATCCACATGCCACAAGGCCCAATTAACATCTCTGATACCGTCACCTGCTAGTCGATAGGCAGCTATTAGCCATCCATAACTATTGCCAATTGCTGTGCAGACGTGCCAGGACAAGTTTTGCCAAGCCGTATTGGAAGACAGTTTAGCAAGGCTAGTTAAAATAATACCTCCTGAATTTGACGGCATTGGAAAGTCTCATATCACAACACATATTTAGTTTAAAATTTGTCTTGCAGAAGTTAATGCTTCGGTATAAATCTTTGCTTTTATTAGGATCCCAAAAGATATCACGTGGGTTTTCATTCCGTTTTTTGTTGCTTTCACACCAGCTTTCTGCTTCACTGTAACTCAAGAATTCCCCTCTCAAAGGCTGTCGTCACTGTTTCTAAACAATGAGTGCTATAGCATCTGTAGCTAAGGAATTTATAACTATTTTCACTTAATGCATCTTTAGGTTCCCAAAGAATGTCAGGAAGGAATTGCTATTCTGTGAAGTACAGCATGTTACAGAATAGATAGATTGTGTTTTCTCATAATACTGGAAACACTTCTCATTTCTCCCCCACATACACGCTTCCCTTAATCACAAATAAATGCCACAGTGAAAGAAAATTATTCCTTGCATAAGTGTAAAAACCTCAGGTTTTATTTCTAGACCTTACCATGATTCCTCCTTTGCGCCCAACACTTGATGGTTCTGCCAAGTCCAAACAGCACAGGAAGCAGACTAATTTTCTGTTTACAATCCCAAAACCTGCATCACTTATAGTAAGGCTCCTTGGGGCTGGTTTGTTTGTTTTTTTCTTGATCCTACTCCACTCTTTGCAAGAGATCAGTTAATTACAGAGGAACAAAGATAGGGCAGGGATCCTTCTCTCCTAATGTAGAAAATGAGCCCTTCTGCTGCAAGGCTGCAGAGAAAGCGCTGTTGAGCTATGTTCTTATAACACATTCCCCCCCCCTCCAATTACATGATGTATGAATGAGTATTTTGCAGTGTTCTATTAGGTTTAAATTAGCGAGGGGAAAGCAGTGTATGTCTTCAAGTAGATGTCAGAATGAGCATTGTTAGAGTTGTCGGGCTATGTGTTTACAAAATGAACCTTTCTTGCAGTTCAGGTAAACTGAAACATATGTTCCACTACATGGCTTAATACAGCAGCCGGAGGACGAAGAACATCCATACTCCATCTCTGTGATGGAAAGATACGCTTCAGAATGTGGAGGGGAAAAAAAAAAAGCGGCGACTGCCAAGGGCAGTCTGGATAACAGAGACTGGAGCTCAGCGCCTCATCCTGTAAACATCACCTCGATGACACCACTGCAACGAGTCAGTTTGAAGTCAACTCCATTAAGAGTAATCAGTGTTGTTCAAACTGGAGCAGATCGACAACTTCAGTGCCTAAAACTACTTTTATCCCACAAAAAAATCAGTCGCCATGCCAGTTCATTCACCGTGCAGGGATGCTGTGTTTAAGGGTGCTCAGATGTATCTGATGGTACCTACAGGGGCGCCGGCCTGTGTCAGGAATATCCCGAGGAAAAGTTGTGCATGTTTATGGGAATCTAAGAGCCCTTGTCATCAAAATAAACTTGAAGAAATTGTTGGCCGTCATCACTGGCATAGCAGACAGGAACTGTGCCTAGAAATAGAGATCAGCATAGCAACATTGCTGACTGTTTTGTAGAGAAGGCGGCTTGTTTTTCCAGACTGCGACATTTAATAAACATTTGCTGTTTGTTGAAACGGCGGAACCTCACTAGATCAAACTGCATGCTAATCTGCTGGAGTCGCCACCACAGACTTTTGTCTCCAGTATGTACACATCACGAGTCGCTGTGGTTTCATTGGTTTTGTCCTATGACATTTGTTCCTTTGTGTTTGTCCACGAAAAACAGACGGCACATGGAACGTGTTGAAACAGCCCCACAAATCCTCCAGACGATGATGTATTTTGCGAGATCCCGTTTTATCTTGTCATTAGGCCTCCGTTAAGCTGCAGGCGGAGGAGCCCTTTGATGCAAGCTCTGACGAGCAATCTGCTCGGGGTTCGATGGGCACCGTTAGCCCTCCATTACCTGAAACCTTGGGATTCACGCTCCACCCAAACGGACTGCGATTATGAAGAGAAGCCTTGCAACTACGCGTCCTAAAAACTCTGAATCACCAGACTGTGAATAAATTTGACTCTTGGAAGCTTTTCAGATTAAGCTTTTGACGTTTGAAGCTTTTAAATGGGGCTTTTAAATCCACATGGGTGTCTTGAACCTTGGAGAAATGGCATTGAGGAGCCGGGTCCCCCCTACGCCAGCACCCGGGGAGCCGAACCTCCTCAGGCCGCCCCCGGGAGGCAGCAGGTCAGCGTTTGCCTTTATCCTTTATTACGAGGAGGGAGATTTGTGGGGACGGGAGCTGTTTCCCGGCGCCTCGGCCGCTCCGGCTGTGTGGAGCCGAGTGACGGTTGGGCTCCGGCCGTTGGCACCCACCGTCCCCCCGCCCCAAAGCACCTCA